ACTGGATAGAGAAGAAATTGTGCTATGGAGGAGGGATTATTTAACAAAAATTGGGAAATATAGAAATCAAAACATGAAGATTTATTATCTTGATGAAACGTGGGTAAACGCAGGACACACTACAAGTAAAGTATGGGTTGATGATTCTGTAACTTCATCCAGGAGGGCCTTTCTAGATGGACTGTCCAACGGATTAAAAATACGAGTAATAGACAACAATCGGATGTTTTTCAAACCTTGGGAACAAGGTTATAAACATTAATTCCAGGGGGCAGATAAAACATATTACAAGTTTTTAAGCCATGTTTTTATGTGTTTTCGATATTTCAATAATTTTTTAATATAATCTCAAAATATGTCGAATATTATAAACTTAAAAAAAGTTACTAAGTTTTATATTGTGTACCGTTCCTAATATTTCTATTCATTTTAATTCATACTTTAAGCTTTATAAAGTTATAATTTGTTAATATTAATATTTGCGCGTATTTCAGGTTCCTGATCATTCATTTTTTAAAGGTTTATAACTTTAAATTAAATTGTGAAGCGCTGAGTAATCATACGACGTTCAATATTATTTCTTTCAATATGACTAAATAATCTCAATTATAGCAATCTGATACTCATGTCTCAATGTTTTTTCGCTGAATGTGATGAAAACATTTGAAAAAGGTTCGCTTATTGAAATAAATCTACACCAGTTAGTACTTCGATTTCCAGGTAAAGGGAAAAGGCTCATTATCTGCCATATTGGCAGTGAGGATGGATTTGTTGTTGACGGTCTGTGGTGCTTTGAGTCTAAGAAAACTGGAGATTACCACGAGGAAATGAATGGCGAATCGTTTGAACAGTGGTTTTCAAAAATTTTACCGAACTTAGAGGAAAACGCAGTAATTGTGTTGGATAATGCGCCTTATCATTCTCGAAGAATGGAGAAGGTCCCAACAACGGCTTCAAGGAAAGTTGATCTTCAAAATTGGCTCCGCTCGAAGAATATCAACTTTGAAGAAGCAATGCTGAAAGTACAATTATTAAGAATTGTCAAGGATCACAAGGCGGAATATCAAAAATACGCAATTGACGAAATGGCAGCAAGTCAAAATAAAACTGTGCTCCGTTTACCTCCATACCATTGTGAGCTCAATCCCATTGAGCTCATATGGGCAGAGGTTAAAAATTATATAGCTAAGCACAATACAACTTTTAAATTTTGTGACCTCAAAGGACTTTTCAAAGAAGCACTAGAATTAATAACAGCGCAAAAATGGGAAAACTGTATTAAGCACGTGAAAGACAAAGTTGAAAAGAGAATGTGGGAACTGGACAATATTTTAGAGGGACAAGTCGAGCCATTCATTATTGACGTTGGTGCTTCATGCAGTAGCGATGATGAAAGCTCATCAATCTCATCTTTCCAATAAAAGATGTCGTTCATCAAATTCGGTAAGTTATAAGTAATTATAAAGCTACTGTATTTTTTAATTAATTATTGACATTTTTGAACCCATTTTGGCAAAACCTATTCAAGAATCTACTTTCTGACAATGTTCAACCATGCACATTTTTTTACGTTTTGAACGTTTTAATTTGGTTACATATTTACCTAGAAATCAAAAAATATACTAATCAATATTCTAAAAGCAATTTTAAGAGATATACGATTATTTTTAATTTAGGCTAATTTAAACGCCATTTTGAGATTATATTCGACTGTATTTCACCAAACATCAGGCGGCATCCGATGCTGGAAATCGAAGCGAAAATTTTGAAACCCTTATGTATATTTACATCATTATATATTTCTTACCACACCCCCACATGATCCTATATCCATCACCAATCGTATACACATCGAATTGTGCTAATTTACTACAAAGTTACGCAAAGCAGCATCTACTATCTAAAATATGTACTGCGTGACTCTTAATACGTCCCTGCCGAATGTTACAGCGTTCGATGATCACGTGGTCTTGTTTATGTCCGGTCTATCTCTTATCTGAATATACTGTAACAGGTGCATAGTATAATTGAGACCAGCAGCTTCCTAATAATAGGTACTTCACTGACACAAAATATGCAACAATTTTCAACCATTTACCCCATACAGCTTCTAATCTACAACTTTCACCCCTCCAAACAATGTCTCATATTGAGCAGGTTCCTCTGAAACGTTGTAACACTATGTTCCAGCGATTTTATTTCCGCTGTCTCTCAACCAATTTTTAAACTCTCCGAATACCAGAACTAAGGAAGTATTAATACTTGCGATAATATTCGAACACACACAAATCTGTTTTTCTCATTTATTTCGGTTTGTCAATCCGTGTCTGTTGTGTATAAATGCGTCATACGTACTGGGTCGATCTACTTGACGAAATATTCAAAGAACCATCACATACGGAGTAACACAAATTGAAGGTCAGGCGAAATGGGCGGTACATTTAAGGATAATAAAATTCAGAAAAGTATTTGTATAGATATAGAAGCAGATAAGTCATTATTTACAGAAGCATCGCAGATGGTAGACGGTATCTGACTGTCGAACGCGGAGGTACCACCCGGTGTTTAGGGCTTTCGTGGTAGTTGGAGTATAAAAAAAGAACGCTCAAGCGGTATGTACTCCTAATATCGAAATATTGCTAAAATATATAAATATTTCTCCAGTAGCGAAGTGTCAGTGACGACACCACTGCAAACTAGTTGGAATTTGTTAGTGATTCCACGACGATGCAGCATCGCGCCGGGCACGCAACGCCAACAAGTGCCAAGTTATTTCTAAAAATTATTTATACATCCGGTCATTTGCCATTCAATTTTCCCGCTATTACCAGGACCATAAGCTTCTTAATTATAGAAAGTTTCAATCCCTAACAAAAATTTTCAGAAAATGATCAGGAGCCTGTTACAGTTTTTATGGTCGACTAACAATTAACTATATCTAGATAAAGTAAATTATTATACCGTTTTTTTTTATTGGAATAATAATTTTATAGCAGTTCATAAAAATATCTAATTTCATTTTTATAACAAAACACTTCTCTTGGTCTAATAATTTTATGGTAGAAAATCATTTTCTACACTCCATCCCGTTAAAGGTCATTTTTTATAATTTCTGACGACCGTAAATACGAGAGCTGAAGGTAACTGGGTGCTATTTCCGGTGCTCTCGTTTAGGAATTTAGCGGCCCACTACCCGAGTTTGTGAATTAGCTTCACACGCAGTGTTGCGGTTTATCGGGTGGTGGAGATTTTAATAGAAATCGGCCCCCATTAGTGAGTTTATTGTCAGAGATGTTTTTCTCACCCTCTTGAGGATTCAGCCGTAAACGTAACTACTCTGAACCATCGAGCTGGTAAGTGACCATTTTCTCCAAGCCACGTGTTCATTTCCTCAACAAGATTTCTAATTCTGTAGAAAGAAACCGTCTGCAGTGATAATCCTAGGCGAATTTAAGTAGGACACGCCTGTGAGAAGCAGTTCCCCATTTCTGTGAACTCTCATTTTTCGAGGTAATCATGATTTTTTTTACTTTGCTAGGACTGTCTTAATCTCGTTCAAATTGAAAACACAACCACTTCGTTCAAAAATTTAGCAAAAAAATATCAATTTTATTTATGCCAGCTTAGCCATTCTTATGTAACATTAATAAATAAAATTGTGCGGTTGAGCGTTAGGCGGGGTTTGAATGATATCTTGTTCATTTATCACATAATTAATAATTTAAAATATAAAAAGTGCTCCCTAATAAATAATATATTCTTTGCTGTTCCTAGAATCAACTTGGGGCAACAAACTCTTTCACTGTGCACCTGTAAGTTGTTCTTCTATCAATAGAATGATGTATGGGTGTAACAAAATTGTGATGTGGATCTCCTTTCAACTACTGTGAGATAAATTAAGACTGATTTTAGATTTAAGTAAAACATCCTTATCTCATTTTATTTGTTAGTTAATTTTTATAGTTTTTCTCTGTCGTTATTTTTTAGTTATACGTTTTTGTGTATTCTCTGTTTCTCTACTAGCCAGTAACCACTCCTGCATGTAACTACATTCAAATGTGTTTGTATGAGTTTAAATAAATCAATAAATAAATAAATTACGGTTATACTTTAACCATTTAATTATCCATTGTTTAGGTAAATCTTGAATTCGTCAAAAGCTATTAATTCATCAACTTAATTAGTAGTAAAAAAGGGAGAAATGTTTTGTATTTCTCATTGGTAATATTCATATATTGTTCTGAATCATGGTACATGCACTGAGAATAATAGAGTGTTATTTTTATATTGCTGTAGCTTCTGATTTTGGTTGTATATTTACTCAAGTTTGAGCGAGCCATGCTCACGAGGTAAAATATTCCTGTTGTTCTCAAGTAACATTTTAATTGCTTTACTATATAAGATGAGGGAGGACATGAAATGTTTCACTTCGCCTTATGTTTTTTACAGGCATCGTGATTATTTTAGTTTAGTTCAGGTTAATTTAAATATTACTAGTGCAATCACAATTTTTCTTGTTCACTAAATGGTTCAGCAAATTACTCGTAAAAGGGGCGATTATTAGACAAGTCGTTATTTCGGTTTTTTTAACAAGTATTTTTTTTATTTAGGGTTCTATCTACGGGTTCTACCTTCGGGTATCGAGTTGCATCTGAGACTTCCTGCCCTCGGCTGCCTCCCTATGATAGCCAGGCGCCCGCCAAGGTTTTTTAATTTTCGTTTTTTTTTCTTTATTTGAAACCATTCAGCTTGGGGATGGCGCTAATACAAAATAACTTTCTTTGCTTGTCCTCCAGGACTTGAATTTATTTTTATTTCTTTTGTTCAATAGACGTTTGTGTACCTTGTCAGTTTGTATCTCCTTTAGCGCCAGAGATCCAACATTTTTTACTTGTTATCTCTTTTCTTAGTACTTGGAACTAGGTGACGCCCAAACCACAACCATTTGAATCCAAAAACCAAAGAACCTCACGCTGAGCTCTCATTATTATCTACCATACTGGCTCGTTTCGGCGGAAGAACAAGCCTCTGAAACGTGAAAAAGTGAAATTTAAACGTTTTCTATTTTTCTCGTGTTTTTGCTCATAGCTCCGTCACCACTAGACCGGTCTTCGGAAACTACAAAGCTTTTCCATCCTTGGCATAGTAGTAACCTTGTCTGAAAATTTCATCGGAATCCGAGCAGTACTTACCTACACCTATAGGCGATTATAAATTCAGCGGACAGTCCGACAGACCGATAGAAATGAGTGACATGGTTTCTCGTGATGTACATATAATATAACGTCCAAAAACTTAATATCTCAATTTCAAAATTATTCACGATAGCAATATTTCCTCGCCAGTTTTGACATAGGAAGCAAACATTTGTGATAAGGGGGTCAAGAAATATTACTCGAAAATATTTTCAAATTCCTAAAATGGCCGGAATTTCAAAAATTCAGTAGTCTTTATTTTTCAAAAATTCATAATTAACATAACTTATAAATTGACCGCGCACCTTCTGAACCTTTTTGTCTATGTCATTTTGTTTCCTATTTTGGTTAGTTTAGATACTGAAGAGTTTTCGAATAACGTATATTATTTTTTTTTGGTTACGGTCCTGTAACAATTACATACAGAAAAGTGTCGTTAAGGTTGATGAATAAGCTACAGAAGCTGTTACTATGATGTTTTCATACCATTCATTCGTTCATGAAATAGAGTCTATTTTCTCAGAGCTGTGCTTAATCCAAACGTAAATGCGCATAGTTGAGTAAAACCAGAGTTGTGCTTGTTACGGAAAGTTGACCCTTTGGTATGTAAAAATGTTGCTAAGGTCGTTTTTTGTTAAAAAAATATTATTTTTTCGATTTTTTTTACAGAAAAAAATTAGGTGCCTGAATGGCATTTGACAAGACTATTTCATGAGTAACAGATTACTGGTGTCCTAGAAGACCTTATTACTTGTTATCAAAGGTATTCTAATTCTTGGCGACAACAGCTGTCAAGTTTTGCCGCGGGTAAACTGCTGACAGGTACTGTCATACAATTTTTCCATCTACGAGCCACTTGTCATTCAAAATTGCACGTTTGTGATTTGTAGAAATTAAGACGAGGGCAATAGTCAAAGAAATCTCATAATGCTGTATATAAATGCTTTATATAAATTATCAAATTCATATTTATCTTTGCTCTTCAGTACAATTATTCTACAGTAAGTAGAAAATAAAAACCTACCAAAGCTTTGAGATTATGATTTTGAAAAGATGTATGCCCTAAAGTAGCACTTGGCCTCACAAAAAAAAAGTGGCTCACTTTAAAATATATTCTTCCACCAGATAGCGTTTTAGAAGCAATTTTAATACATTCACGTTAAAATGCATTTCTAAATCTGTAACCTTCGTTAATTATGGAGTTTTGGAATTGGTTAAAAACACTATTCTATCAATGCGATGCCTAAAAATCTCGGATAATCTCGTGAACGAACGTAGATATGAAAATATAGTAAGCACAACATTTGAAGCTTATTTATTAAGCTGAAAAATTGCATCAACAACTTTCATACATAATATTTACAAGACCGTAACGAAAATATCAAAAACCAAAACGTGTGTTAACTTTTAACAGTATGTAGGAACGATTGACCACGTAGCAGTACAGTTTACTTAGTTTTTTGTTATAAACTCTTTGCCTTCGAGAGTTGACAGACTAAATATATTTTCCGTTTTCCGATTTGTACTGTACTTGTAGGATTGAAATTACATTTTCGAATCTCTAAAATATCCATTTCCGATCATGTATGTTTAATGCGTACTAACGTTACGGTTAAAGTGTGATGCAAAATTAACAAAAACTAAATTACTGCTTAATTGAAACGTTGTACCTCAAAATTTGTCGCATTTAAAAAAGCGCTGATTGGTTTTGGTGCAATTTACAGATTCGAAGTTAGTCCGATGTATTAAATTTCACCCACACGTTTTAACCTCGTTTTCATATTGAACAGTGGAATATATTATTGTATTTGTATATTAGAATTCATTCGATTTATGATAAGCATTTCATAGCTCTAATGACCATTTTCACTAACTAACAGATGACATAATTTCGTTTCGTTATTTCTAACTAAGAACAATGTTTATCCGCTCAAATAACACTGGTGAACAAGACTAAAATAATTTTTTGTGGCATGGACAAAACAAGGTGGTTATTATGTAAAACGTACCCAAAAAGCCGGAAATAGCATTCGATGTTTTCTATCACCCACGGTTTTCTTGGAATAAGGCATTTTATTTGCTGCTTATACTCGTAAAATATAATAGTAATAAACACTCGAATAAACATTAATCTCAGAATGTTGCTGTCGATGCTTTGCGGCGATATGTTGCCCCTGAAGTATCTCTCAACAATGTCCAGCAATAATCAGCAAGCAACTTGACACTCCATTTGCTTTGATACCGTTTTTTCATAGCAGAAATGTCTTGGTGGAACCGTTCACAATGTTCATCACTTACAGCACCTAAAAATCGGGATGAGAATCCAAAAACTGAATTTTTAGAAACATGTTACATCCCATTCCTTTATAAGCATTAATTAATTCACTCACAATATCTTTATAATTGTCCACCTTCACATTGCCTAGTAACTGATTTAAAAGCATTCCAAGCTCGTAATTCAGTTTCATTTAGAGCATTGTCAAATACATCATCCTTCATAATTTTCCGGATTTGTGGACTCACAAATATGCCCTCTTTAATTTTTGCCTCACTATGTCTCGGAAATGTTTGTTTTAAATGCAGAAACCCTCTTCCACTTAGATACCATAGCTTTCACATAATTTTTCATCAGTCCCAACTTAATATGCAAAGGTGGAAGCAACACGTTTTTGAGATCTACTAGTGGTTCATGAGCAATGTTTTTGAGGCATGGAGTTAATACCTGACGTAGTGGCCACTCCTTCTGTTCATAATTATATACTAGTCTACTAGCTATCTACCTTTAACTAGCTCTAGAACTTTTCGTCAGTTTCATTAGTTTCCCAGTCGAGAAAAATTGCTGCTGTGTAATCTAATATTTCCTGAGGTCGGCCAGATTTGTGGAGCTAATTGGTGAGATCCTTCCATCATCTAACACTATTTTGCGGGCGTAATACCAAATTGACAATTGTTGACAAATTCATTCTGTCAAAGTGAACTTTATGAGAAATTGATATAAGGAGTGTTCATATGCAATATGACCAAAAAGAAGAAAAATGAATGCGAAAACGAAACTCTAGAACCAAATATTCAAATTAGCGTAAGTGAAAAGAGTACCAAAGAAACTATTGTCAAAGAGAATCATTATCTTAAACAGCTTTTGGAAGAAAAGGAAAGATTTATATATCAGTTGGTAAATGAAAACCGTAGACTACAGGAAGCATATGACTTGATTTCTGCCAACATAGTAGAGAAGGAATCCGTTGTATCTACTTTGGCTATTGTAACTGATCAACTAGAACAACTTGAGAAAAGAACGTCAGAGAATACATCATACTCACAAATTTTAAAGCAAAATACTCCTAAAATCAATAGCAACAACAAGAACAACAATGATATGAAATCCATATTAGTTACTCCCGAAAGGACCCAACATTATAATGACACCAGAAAAGACCTAACTAATAACATTAATCTAGCAAGTATTGAAGTCAAGATAGAGAAAGTAAATAATTATAAAAACGGCGGCGTCGAAATTCAAGTTGAGCAATGTTATTACCAGAAACTCAAAAATGAACTAGAAACTAAGTTGAAGGGAAAATACAATATATCAGGAGCAAGAGAAATGAGACCGAAAATTAAGATCATAGGCTACAAAACTGAAAAAAAAACCTTCAGAAGCAGAAATTAAAGAAGAAATCATATCCCAAAATACATTCATTACTGAAAACGAAATCGAAATCACTTTTGTACGACACATACCATTCCGAAATTCTTATACTATATTCGCTGAAGTTTCTGGAGAGCTATATAGAGACATATTTATCAACAAGAAATGAAGAATACTACTAGGTTGGCAAAACTTATTTGTCTATGACAATAACCAGATATCGCAGTGTAGAAAATGCTTGAAGTTTGGTCACACAGACAAAAAATGTAGGGGCGCGGAAATGTGCATTAAATGTGGACAAGCACATAGAATTGAAATTTGTACTGTAAACATTTTAAAATGTTCTAACTGTATGAACTATAACGTTAAGCATAATAAGAATAATGATGTTGGTCACTCGCCCACAGACAAAAAATGCCCGTCGTATTTATATTTTCAAAAACAGTATTCATCCAGAATAATGTTTTGAGCGTTTAGTTCTTTTTACGTTTTTCGAGCTACATATCATTTGCAAAATTTTACATGGATAGCTACGTAAATAATTTTCAGGTTAATGATATCAATACAAATATTGCTCAAGACGCAAATGCTCTTAATAAATGGTTAGAATATTCTAATTTCAATGTTAGCTTATATCACATGAATATACGAAGTCTAAACCAAAATTTTGGCTGTTTTAATATCTTCCTAACTACAATTAAACACAAATTTGATATAATAATATTAACAGAAACTTGGAAAATTAATGATGTATCTTTGTTCTGTTTGGAAGGTTATGATACGCTTTACAATAATGGTACGTACAACCAGAATGATGGGGTGATAGTATATGTAAGAAATGATATCAACTACAGATGTGATTTTGTTAAATTTGATGACGGTATCACAGTGTTGGATTTGATATTGAGAATTAATAACAAAAGTGTAAAAGTCACATCTGTCTATCGACCACCATCATCAAACCCTCATACATTTGTAGAAAATCTTGAAAAATTTTTGTTAGATAACAAAAATGCCATACAGTCACACCATATCATAATAGGAGATATGAATATTAATATACTCCAACATACCAAATTAGTAAACAAATACCTCACTGTAATGCAGAGCAATGGATTCATATCAAATATAAATTTACCAACAAGAGTAGTCAATAATAGTTCCAGTTCTTGCATTGATCATTGTATCATCAAAAATTTTTCAAATTTCTTTCGGTACATACCGTTAATTGTTGAAAACCATATTACCGATCATTTACCCACTGTAATACTTATATCATCACCAGAAAAAAATAAAAGTAGATCCATCTCCAATAATGAAACAGTGAAATTTAGGTGTTTTGTCGATAATAAAAAACTACTTGCAAATATCAAATTAGAATCGTGGACAGCCGTGTACTGTGCAACGAATGTTAATGATGCTGCAAACACACTCATTGAACGCATAAAATATTTAATTGAATGTAGTACAAACAGAGTTAAAATTAAACATTTTGACAGAAGCAGGAATCCCTTGATAACTAAAGGTTTGATAAAGTCTGCCAACAAAAAAGATGAACTATACAAAATAATGAAAGCATCGCCATGTGCAGATACCTCCCATAAATATAAAGAATATAAAAATATTTTTATCAATCTAGTTAGAGAAGCAAAACGCCAATTCTATCTAAAAAAATTACAAGATGCCAAATCTGATCCAAGAAAACTGTGGTCAGTTGTCGATCACTTCACTAACAAAGACGTTCAAGAAAAGCCAAATATTGATGAAATTAAGAATCGTGATGGAACAATATTAACAGATAAACGACAAATATCCGATGCATTCTTAAATTTTTTCACTAATGTTGGAGAAAATTTAACATCCAGTATTAAAAAAATGGTTTCGAACGAAAAGTTCACAAAAACCCAACTTCCCAATTCATTCTTTTTATAAAGCGTTAGTCCGATTGAAGTACAAGAAGCTGTCCTATCACTTAAAACCAAAAAAAGCCCTGGTGTGGATGGTATCAAAGCTGAGCATTTAAAAATAATAGCCTACGACTTAGCCGAACCACTTTCTTACGTCATTAATTGGTGTTTCCAATCTGGAATTTGTCCTGATGCATTTAAAACAACTGTTATTACTCCTGTTTATAAAAGCGGTGACAGAACGGAAGCATCAAATTATAGACCCATATCAGTACTATCGAATATAGCCAAAATTTTCGAAAAATTACTACAAAAAAGGATATTACAATTTTTGGACAAAAACAAAATTATATGTTCTGACCAATATGGATTTAGAAAAGGAAAATCTACTACAGATGCAATTTTGGCTGCAATGGATGAAATTAACTCTAATGTCAACAAAAAGATACCTACTATTGGTATCTTTGTTGATCTAAAAAATGCCTTTGATACGGTTAACCATGTCGAGCTTCTGAAAGTTATGGAAAGATTGGGATTTAGGGGAGCGTCACAAATCCTTTTAAAAAATTACCTTTCAAGTCGGGCACAGACTGTCAAAATCACTAACACTTACAGTAAAAACATGTACATCAAGTGTGGTGTGCCTCAAGGAACAGTACTAGGCCCACTTTTATTTAGTCTTTACTTAAATGACTTATTCAAAATTAACAGTTCTGGAAAGATTATATGTTTTGCAGATGACACCCTCGTATTATATAAAGCTGATGACTGGAGCACACTGAAGCAAATAGCTGAAAAGGATTTTATAAGGATCATTGACTGGTTTGATACTAAAATTTTAACACTTAACTTCAAAAAAACAAAATTTATTGCATTTACATCCTATTCAAAATGTTTACCTATCTTCGAACAAATTTCCGTTAATTATCATGGCCAAAAGACCAAAATCGATAGAAATATCTTGGAATATTTATAGACTCACATCTAAGGTGGGATAACCATATTAAATATGTTATCAAAAAAATTAGAAATGTTGCCTATAAACTCAAAATGCTTGCTGACATTCTTACAGAAAGTTATCTGCGAATCCTATACCATGCCTTAGTTGAAACCCATATAATATACGGCATCACAGCCTGGGGTGCCGCCTGCAAGACATATATTTCTGACCTGAATATAGCACAAAAAACTGTTTTGATTTTCCATAAGCCAAGATTATATCCAACGAACAACTTATATCAAGAAACAGGGATACTTGATACAAGACAACTTTATTTCTTACATGCCACCACCTTATACCATAAGTATTGTAATAAAAAGAAAAAATCCTATAAACACGAGCATAACACACGATTTCGAATAGGCTCATCTAATATCCAAAAACCACACAAAACATTATTCAAAAAATCATTTAAATTCTTAGCAGCTAAATTATATAATGTAGTACCAAACGAAATAAAGATACTTAATTTTGGAAAAAAAATTAGAAGAAAATTGAAAGACTGGGTTAGTAATGTGCAGCGAATGACTATACATAATTATATAGAAAACTAAAACAACAAAATTCCAATTACATTAATACCTTTTAGATTTAACAATAATTGTTATACACATATATGATTGATTGTTAGTTATTAAGATATAAACCACACACAGGCGATGCCTTCTGTGGTTTTTTCATATTTATTTGCCCATTTTTTGTATTTTGGCGAATAAATATTATTATTATTATTATTATTATTATTATAATAACGATGTCGCGCACCACTGTCCCATTCACCAAGAAAACAACAATTCTAAGAAAGGCTATTACCTTTAAATCTAAACATATGGCCCATCTATATTCATTATAACGGATATGCTCCAACAGAACTCGCATATTTTCATATGACTCCTTCATAATCAAAACATTTGCATCATGCTTATGTCCTAACGCGTCAAGCAAATTGTTGACATCAGATCAATATATCAACTCCCTTTCTTGACGGAAACAGTGTGTGATGCTTTGTTACCGTTTTCGGTAAAAAGTAATGTTAACATCACCGTGGAGTAGATTCCATCCTTTTAATCTTGACGCTAAAAGTTCTGACTGGGATTTTGACAGATCCAATTCTCGAACTAAGTCATTAAGTTCACCTTGTGTGATCAAATGCGGCACTGTTGAACATCCTGGCAGGTCAAACGAAGGATCGGAAATTTATACGCTTTCTGAACCATCACTTTCAGAATCGGTGGATTCGACTTTTTCATCCAAAGACCAATTCTGGTGGAACTGGAACAGAAAGTTCATCGCTATGCTTAACGGGGCGCAAAGATGATGGTAAATTGAAATACTTAACAGTATGTTTCGATTTTGGTCCAATACCTTTAATATTTGTGAGGCAAAAATTGCAATCAGTA